AGAAGGATAAAGAGAAACTGAGAAGGCCACATATCATGGAATTTCTTGCATAACAGTCCCATCAAGCACTCAGCACTACGCTAAACATTTCAAACACTGCCACCTACAACTCCATTAGACACCTGAATCACAGACCTGATAAGATAGCACTAACATTACCCAGTAAATGACATAGTGACAGCTCTGATAAAGAGCGTGTACACAAAGGGTAATTAAGTGTGCACAGCACTTCAGTACAGTGTATTTGGTCATAAATGAACGTGCGTACACTTAAGTGTCAGGAAACATCAGGTATATTCAAAAATATTTAAAATTGTCAGAAAAACAAGTGATGGATCCAAAATAAATAGGCATTGTTCCAATCCCATAGAACTTGGAAACAAGTAAATGTTGAATCGGTTATCTTGATGCACAAAGAGAAACAGTTTGGCTCTTCCTCCATAAACCACAGCGGAGATTGGTGACTATGACGACGTAGCAGACAGGGACTTCTTGAGGATGAACAAGCTGTTGCCTTACCAAGAGAAGGTGCAAGAGAGGATCATGGAGCTCCACCACAGACACCTGTAAGTTCCTACATCTGCTTTTATGTTGAGCTAAAGCTGTGTCATGTTTTCTTTTCCTATATCTGTGCTGCTTGTTCGTTATCTGGCTGTTTGTGGCTGCAGCTTTTCTTGCATTCCACTCAGGATATCTGACTTGCTGACATCAACGTGCTGAAAGATGTCGGTCAACATCTTTTTCAGTTGCTTGGAACAGTTGTATTATTGCCATCGAGTACACGTTTACTGCTGCAGAGTGTCTCATCTCTGCCTCAGAACAGACAGGCTGACTGGGGACTTCTCTTTAACGCTCTTTTGAACAGTTCATTAAATTTTTATTTTACTTTAGAAAAGGTGCCACAAAATATGACAGTGTATAATAAATTGAAGCTGCGCTGCCCAGCTTCTTTTCAGCCACTAGAGAGTTTACTCAGGCTCGAAGCAAACTGACACCATGAGCCTCTCCTAACTGCTCCTTGCAGTAAACTATGGATTCCTGGTTATGACAAAGTACAAAAGGCAGCCTCCAGTTTGAAGCTACTGTTGGCTGGCTAGTGAGCAAATCTGATGATCCACTAGAAGAGTCTGGTTACTGCTAATGCCACACAAAGTACCTAAGCAGGATCATACTATTGTGAGTTAGTGCGACTATTTCCTGGACAGAGGATACAGTGGAAATACAAATGATCACAGCATATTACACAGTCTCCCCACTAGGAAGACTGTGTAATATAACACACACAGATGACGAGCATGATGTAGTGTTCAGATATAGCCATTTGAGTGAATATCTTTATATACTACCTTTTGTTAAATACATACTGTGTAAACATTTCCTCTTCACTTATGCTTGTTTTTGCTGGTGCCTAAATGAAACTTCTTTGCAAGAAGTTAAAGACGATGGCTGGTCATTTTCTACATTCATAAAATTTTCAACAATCCCCATACAGAGATTCAAACGGACAATGAATTGCCTCTACTCCCAATTAATGTCTGTCTGTCCTGGATTAGCTTGTTCGCCCATGCCATAGTCCTCTGTTGTTGTTATGAAACGATTGAAAACGCATCAGGGTAACACTCGGCTGCGCTGGGTGACATCTTTTTTTTTTTTTCATAATGAAACACCAGACCCATCTATGTTGCCCCAAAGACTCCATGTGGCCATAATTTCCTGAAATTGGCACACTAGTCAACTGCACGTGCATGACAATTTGTGGGAGTGTTCAGCTTTGTTTACAGTCCGCTAGCTACTCGCACTTGGGTCTGGTGTTTGCTAATGAACAAGTGTCTCCCAGTGCAGCGCTGTGTTTAACTGATGTTTTTGAACAACGGTGGCCTTTCGCACAGATGAACAAACTAATCCAGGACCAACAGCTGATGGACGTTTACCATGAGTAGAGGCAATTCATTGTCTGTTTCCGTCTCTGTATAGCATATCGCTGGAAATACTGTTAATATACACATGACTGGGCTTAACCTTTAACTCCCCTTTTCAGTGGCTTTAAACACAAATTCTTACTAAACAACCATAACCCGTTTCAGGCTCCTGAATCTCACAGAACCTTTTGTACTTTTCCACCATCAGCCTCCTTGTTAGTGCAGTCCTATCCTATGGCCAACAGGGGCTCTTTTCAACACCGTGTATTAGGTGGCTCTAAAGACTTTTGCTAATCTCTCCCCTTGGTCAGTGTGGAAGCACAAGCAGCGATCTTGACCTAATCCCTTTCTCTGGCCAGACTATTAGCCATAAGGCCAGTGGGGCAGGGGAGGACCCTAAGGAGATTTCACCACTTAACGGATGAACAGAATTAGAATGTGGTGATAATGGGATGGATATGTCTCCCTAACATGCTGTTTGGTTGTAATCACGTGGTTTTAGATAATTCTTCTCAAATCCTTGGAGTTATAAGGCATTTAAGGCCGTAGCAGCCAGCATACAAAAAGTGATAAACTGTAAATCAAGAATAAAGATTGGAAAATGGATACCAGGGTCCACACAACTGTTTGCACTCTACATGTCCTGTTAATCGTTTTGATTAGCATTTTGGCGTCGTATGTGCAGGAGAATCCGAGTCATTGTTGGAAACTGGTGTTTTCAGTTTATTGCCAAGTACATTCAGAAACTGTACTCCTGTTGTTGGGACTTTACCAACGGTTCATAATCAGTTTATTTAATAATGTCTCACTTATTCTGCTACATTGTCTACTCCAGGGGCCAGACTCCCGCTGAATCAGATTTCCAAATCCTGGAGATTGCACGTAAACTGGAGATGTATGGTGTCCGCTTCCACCCAGCAGCTGACAGAGAGGGCACCAACATTAACCTGGCTGTCGCTCACATGGGCCTTCAGGTTTTCCAGGTGATGCTGTTTGCATACCAGCAGCTTCTGAATGTCACTCTCGGTATCCAACAGTGATGCTAAAAGTTATTTTTTTATATCACAGAGCAACACAAAAATAAATACCTTCAATTGGTCCAAGATTCGCAAACTTAGCTTCAAGAGAAAACGGTTCCTGATCAAACTCCACCCTGAGGTTCACGTATGTATTAATGAAGAGATTAGTGCCCTAAAAGAACTTGTTTTCTATATGTCCTAGAATCCAAGCTCTTTCTAACTTTTTTTTTTTTTTTTTGACATTTGTTTTTAGGGCCCCCATCAGGATACTCTTGAGTTTCTGATGGCCAGTCGAGACCAGTGTAAAATCTTTTGGAAGATCTGTGTGGAGTACCATTCGTTTTTCCGTTTGTTCGACCAACCCCAACCCAAATCCAAAGCCATTTTCTTCACTAGAGGCTCTTCCTTCAGATACAGGTATTAAATACCGACATAGAAATGAATGCATGTGTCATTTTTACGGCCAATATTTTAATTCAGAACTCTTTCTGTCAGTGGGAGGACCCAGAAGCAGCTTGTGGAGTATGTCAGGGTGAATGGAGCAAAGAGAACCCCGTACCAGAGGTCTGTGTTTCTTTACACAGCACATACACAGTTAATCAGAAAGACAAGTTGTTTGCCTTTGTAATTCTAAAGTATGGACTGAAATGTTTCCACACTGCATTTATCATAATTCTGACTTGAACGTCTTTCTTGTTCAGGAGGAACAGTAAAATCCGAATGTCTGCTCGATCCTTAGCAACAGATGTGCCAAAACCGGTCAGTAGCTTTGTAATGTTGATGTATTTGTGCTACAACTGAAACATTCCATATATTCTACTGGAATGGATAAACAAATAAAATTCTTCTCTCCTTTATTACTTTCCACTTTCTTTTTCCTCTCTTACTGTGTCTTCCTTGTTTTCTCTGTGTTGTTTTAGGGTTTGTCATTCAATGACAGTCTCAAGTCCAAAGGCCCCCCTCCCTCTACTTCGGTGTCCTTCCACCCAGCACATATCTCTGGCATCCTCCCACGAGCAGAACTCCAACCTCAGCCCCAGCTGTTCCCCACACTGAACCAGTCTCCAGCACCTCCCCAGCAGCACCAGAACCAGCAACAGCAGCAGCTTCAGTCCCCCCTGCAAGCTACCCGACCCCCCAGCCCTCTGAAGGAAGAACCTGTCAAGCCTGCTTCCCCATCTCACTACGCTTTTCAAGGTGCCCCTAGCAGTCAGGCAGCAGGACACTGCAGCCCCTTGTTTATGTGTATAGAAGGTGGCATTTCCCAGTCACAGCCCTTCAAAAATGGCAATGAGGATAATGAGCTTGGTGGGCGAAGGGGAACTGGGTGTTTGGTTGGAGGGGGTGGAGGGAAGAGGAAGGGAGTTCTTACACCTGAGGCTTTTGAGGCGGAGATTTTGCGTAAAAAACAGAATCCTATGTTCTCAATGTCCCACTCGCCGTTGCATGTCAGTGAGGAGTTCATCGATGACGACCCCACTGAAATGTCCTTTTATGGTGGGGGTGCTGAGGCCTACTCATACGGGCTCAATGATAAAGTAGATCAGTTTGATTATGTGGAGAAATCTGATCTCAGCAAAAATAGGCTCTTTAGTGTGGGCATTGAGGACCTGAATGGGAATAACAGTCTGTTCTCTGATAGCCTTGTTGGTCATTCTGAGACCAGCTCATTAGTTAATAACCGTTCTGAATGCAGCTCTCTGGACAACCTGGGGCTCAGCTCCGCGGGCGAGTCCATGTCAGTGGGCTACGGAGGCCCTGACTCGTCCTCGCTTCGCCTGCCAGGCTCTGACATCCAGTCAGAAGCCAGCTCAATGGTGAACTTCCCAGCATACTCTGTGTGCTCTGAGAGCAGCTCTGCTGTGCAGTTCAGCGACCTGATCGAGCAGCTTGAGCAGCTCAGCTACCCGCCCACCGCCACTGAGGGCTCTGGGAATGGCAGTTACGATTCAGACTCCGACTGGGGCTCCGACAGCGTCCTCCCCTCAGAGCAGAACCTGTTTTACAGTAATCCCCTGATGGGGAGCAGTGGAATAGAGGGTTTCCTCCTCCAGTGCCACAACCTGCAGGCCCTGGCCCTCTCAGACCCTTCTGCAGCCCCTCATGTTAAAATGTAAAGCACATGCCCTTGCAGCACTTGAAGCCTCAGTCCAGGGCTGTCTACATGATAGAAAAAATATTTGTCACTTTGTAATTGATAAGCAGCAGTGGCACAGTTCACTCCCTTAATAACCACTTGATATTCATTGTGCTTCTAGCCATCATAAAATAGAAAAAGATGGTTGCATTATTTGAAACTGTAAAGTTCAAATGTATCGCTGGCGTCTGACTCTCCAGCTAAGTTTCAACAGTCTGCACTCCAGTCACTGTTGAGGTGCATCTGTGTAGTGTACACATGTTAACAGTCATGCTTTTTTTTTTTTTTTTTTTTGTGGTGCTTTTTATCTGTCTTGTCTGTAACTCGGCTTATCAAGTCTTGGCCTTTGCTCTTTCTCTTGCTCAACACTCTTTTGTTTGGCTTGTTCAGTTTTCATTTTTCCCTGTTAGAGCACATGGTGATTACATGGCCTTTAGGGTATACCCTACAAGCATTTGAGGGGAAAAAACCAAAAACATATGTGCTTTTACTTTGGAAGCTTTGTCTTAATGACCCATTTTATATCTTTTAGGATGCTAAGGTGCATGTTAACATAGGCCTGTCTATAGGTTTTCCTCCCATTTGCTGAGTACATAGTCATTTAACTCAGGATTTCAGAAAATAATGTTCTGCATCCATCTCTTAATTTCACTGCCTGGCTTAATGGTTTCAATTTAATGAAACTATTGATTTGTTTTGGTTTTAAGGTGTTTGTAACCACATTAGAACTATAACTTGACTGACAAGTAAGCTTAAAAATGTAATGTCTTAATTTACAAAGTACTTACTGTGATTAATGTTACTAATGATAATCACAGTCGTCTGGCTTTTCTCATTTCCTAGCTGGTACTTCCTGTACAGTGTAGCTTTCTCCAGTAGGTGGTAATCATTAGTCGGTCTCTAATCTCAGGGTAAAAATGAAGCCAACAGCTGTTCAATGATCCTTGCAGGCCTCTTTAAGTTAAAGTCCAGGCATGCTTTTCCATTTGCACTTGTGCACCTCAGTGACATCTGCTGGGCTGAGGTAATCGTCAGCACTCTTCTCCCCAGTTGAGTCCACAGCAGGCAGTAGGTGTCATGGACTATAAGTTTTGGTAGGTTCATGCTGTCTGAAGGGTTAAAAAAAAAAAAAAAAAAAAAAGTCACCAACAAACAGTTTAACTGAAGAATGTAGGCGGTGTGCTAATAAGCCGTCAAGTACACTGTTAACATCACTTTCTGCAAAATGAATGTATCGTCTTACTTGTAGGTGAGCCTTTAGTAAAGCACGTGTAACAGTGTTTGATACAATAGTACTAATAAAAGTAAAAATGTGGATCATCTACGTTAAATGTAGCACCTTTTCAACATTTGATGCCATTAATGTTGTAGCTTCCAGGAGTCCCCTTTGGGACAGTAGGTTGCTTTTATTGTGCCAGTGGAGTCTGGTAAAGGCTGATGTTGATTTGTCTTTCTTCTGAGGTGTGTGTGTGTGTGTGTGTGGTCTTCAGTAAGTTTCAGGGTTTTACCATTAGATTAGATTCAACTTTGTCATTAGCTATAATCTACCAACCAGATGGTATTCTGTATATTGGAAGGAAATAGGGGGTCTTTTGCACAATAGCTACAAAACTTTCAGTACTTTATTTTAGCTGTATTTTTTTATGTTTTTGCAGTCATGTGATCAGTTGCTAACATATTAGCATGCACAAAGCTTTTTTTTATATTAATTATTTTCCAAGCTCCAGGCCAGTTGTATGTCTGGTCTGGTCTTGTTAAGTCTCTTAAAATGAGTTTTACTTGTGCCATAAAACAAACTAATACTGTATTGACATCAAACTAATCACCAGTATTATGTTACTTCACTGATGTCATCTCCTCCTTTAAACACTCTTGTCTTACTGAGTCAGTGTTGGTTCCCTTTCATTTGAGCTCACTTTAATCTGTCTGAGTGCAGGTTTCACTTGGCTTTGCAAAGCTTTTTGTCTGCAGCACTTGCACTGCGGTGCCTTCAAGCACTTACTTTTTAAGCAGTGTCCCTTCATGCACGTTTCAGATGCACTTTCCTGTTTACTTTTTGCTAGCTTAGTGATGATTGTCTTGAACATTTATATGCGAAACTGCATTTCTAGATTAAGGATTTTTCTCTTTAGTAATCAGTCATTTGTTAAATACTCACCTATTCTCATTGTCATTTTGAGGGATACAAGAGCCTTTTCCCCCCCTTAAGAAAATCTCTGTGCACTCACAAGTGTGGACAGCTGTTTGTCACCTTGGAGAGAACTTTTCCCCCCAGATGCCATCAGTTACTTATTACACCTGAGTTAGCTGATCCATGAATGGTTTGTCTTGATGGCTTTTTTTCTTATTGCTTGCCTTAATTCTTTTCCTGCCTTTGGCACTTCCCACATCGACTAGAGACTTCATGAATGAGGGGCTTAGAGTTATAACCATCTGATCTAACTGCATTTAGACATCAAGTAATCATCACTTAATCCTGAACCTGTATATTTACTAATTATAAACAGCCTGTACTTAATGTTTGTATGTTTTTCTCTCAAGAATAAAGTAATCACTTTTGGGTACCATGAATGTCAATTAATATTCTTTTTAAGAAGCAGACTGAAATCAAAGATGTAATCCTTGACATTGCTTTAACAGAAATCTAATGGGGTGGGGTTTTTTTTTTTTTTGTTTTTAATGGCTCAGACAAAGTTGTGCGTTTGTGTCATGAACTGTTTTACCTCGCCCTCTATCTTTTGGTAGGAGAAGAAAGGTTCCCATGGAATGGTGGGGGTTATTCTGAGACGCCAGAATGAAAACATTGTGCATACATGTGCTATTTTATTCTCATCATAATCTGAATCATTCAAAACAGAAGTTGGCAGGGGCAAACTGATCGCTCTCCACATACAATTTGTAAAAGCTGTATCAGCATGTCTAGCTCGTCTCAGACTCTAAAGTACCCCACACTTTAGCTTGTCTTCTTATTCGGTGAAATGAGTGTGTCACGTGTTATAATATCTAGAAGTGAGCTATCCTGCTCCTCAGTGTAACATCCTAAAAAGAAGCGTGCATGGTCTTGTAAGAAGTCAATACACAGTCATTTTCCTATTGACATTTCAGTCAATGGGCTTGGATGCTGTTGGGGGTTGGGTGAAACTCATACATAAGATTCCTTAACCTGATTCCAGCTGAGTGTGTGTGTGTGTGTGTGTGCTCCCTGTTTGGACAGGCTTTGTGCCAAGTCATTCCTCAGCAAACCCCCATCCTGCTGTGGAGTCTGACGTTCCTCTCATATCATTCCCCATGGGGCACTTCAGATAAACTATAAACAGACAAGCTACATTCCTGAAAAGTTTGCATGAGCAATTATTTCCGGGTCGACTAGTGACTTCTCTCTCTCTCTCTCTCTCTCTCTGCCTTGCCCCACTCCTTTCCCCCCTTCTCTCTAGTAGAAGTAGAAGAACAGATGTGGTGACCTGTTTCTGCTGGTTTTCTTGTTTTGTTTTGTAGCAAAGCTCACAGGCAGAACAAAAGCAACAGAGCCAGTGCTCTGAAATGGAATCGGGCTCGTTTAAGTTGGCAATGAATAGTGGGTGCTTCTAGCAGAGGACTCTGAAAACAATACTCTTGGGGAGGGGGGAATGTGGGAACCATTACTTGTCTTGATCTGCTCTGCTGTCTCCCTTTCATCTGTGGCCAGTGTGTGTGTGTGTGTGTGTGTGTGTGTGTGTGAGATGAGCCATTCCACACAGCACTTAGGCTGCGTTTTCTCTCAGAGGGTAACTGTGGAAAAACAGGTCGGGTGAAGATGAAGTTTACTGTATGCATGTTGGCATAACACTGCTACAAATAGGCTGTTGTGCCAAGTTCTTTGTGCAGAGAGCGTAGTTGACATAAACTCCGCCCATATCAAAGGTTCGTGTTTTAGCCAGTTTGCCTAGAGTTCTTAAACCCTTGTTATTTTGTTTCACCTTCTCACCACTTTACACTCTAATTTCTATTTTAAAAGGCGGCTTCTTTGGCCTAAATAACTGAAACACTAATCACCTGCTGTATGTCATTTCTCTCCCTCAGATTCGGTCATGGACAGCCCTCAGCTCTCACCCCTCACCTCCAAGGGTCCCCTGTGCCTCTTGACATCCTTCCAGACGTCGAACCTCAGCCTGCCAGGCCAGGCCTCGCCACCCCTGCAAAGCTCCATCCTGAGCGAGGTGGGCAGCAATGCCAGGCTAGAGGAGGAGGAGGAGGGCAGGAGGAAGGTACACTGCAAACATGCCACCCTTCTACCCCCCGCCTCACAACCCCTTGACAGAGTAGAATTCACAGATTCATGTGATGGGATTTTCAAACAGTTTTAGTATAATGGAGTGCTTTGATTTTTCTCACAGTAGCAGTGTTATCCATCACTCAGATTTTTAGATCCAACGTCCCTCTTCTCTTCTCAGCGATATCCCATCGATAAGGCCTATTTCATTGCCAAAGAGATTCTGACCACAGAGCGAACCTATCTTAAAGACCTTGAAGTCATCACTGTGGTGAGTTGTCCTTTTCTTTTTTCTTTTTTTTTTCTTATTCAGAATTACCAAGGCATTATACCAGATGTCAAAGTGTCCTGAGGCATGAAACAAAGGGTAAATCCCAGGTCCCTTGTTTTATTGTTCCTCATCCACCCAGAGGTTGTTCTGGTCCATCATATTGAATGACATCCCAAAGCTCTCATGCTCGCTGTGAGGAGCGAGCACCCTTTTATAGACCAACACACCCCTTTATCAAAAGTCAGTAGGTTATTGAATGCTTCAGAGGAAAGGGTGTCATGTCTGTAAAAATGTTTTCTCCTTGCATCTTTGGATAAAAGCCTTCTGTAACTGCAACACTGTCAATCAAAGAATAACAAAAAAAAGAGAATTTCTGACAAAAGTGCATAATGAAAACGCTCATTTTAACACCTTGATATTCAGTTCCCTGCAAATGCATTTTCACATTTCACAAATATGATAGTTGTGAAGGTGTAATGGACAAGATCCAACTTGGACTGAGAAATTCTATGAGTGCATTGTCCTCTTTCAAAGCTCTTTTGGTTATTGCCATTCATTGTCGTTATATTGTTGACCATAAAGTAATCGGGTTTCGAAACCTCGCGTCCCAGTCTGTTCAGAAAAATATGTAACAGTCTGTGCTTCTTCTTGCTCCCAGTGGTTCCGCAGTGCTGTGATCAAAGACAACGCCATGCCCGAAGGCCTGATGACCCTCCTCTTCTCCAACATTGACCCCATCTACGAGTTCCACCGAGGTTTCCTCAAAGAACTCGACCAGAGGCTGGCTCTCTGGTAGGTGCTGCTCCAGTCTTTTGTGTGTGATAAATGTATGGATGCCTAATAAAGCCTCGATTTGTTTCCTCAGGGAGGGACGCTCTAATGCTCATGTCAAAGGGGACTACCAGAGGATTGGTGATGTGATGCTGAGGAACATGTGTGCTCTTAAGGTGAGAATACTTTGTTAGCCCTTGAACTGACATCATCTCTTTGACTTGAAATGCAGCGGCCAGGGTTTTTATGCTTGTTGTCCTCAGGAGTTCTCCAGCTACCTACAGAAGCACGATGAGGTGTTGACTGAGCTGGAGAAAGCCACCAAGAGGCTGAAGAAGCTGGAGGCGGTCTACAAAGAGTTTGAGCTGCAGAAGGTCTGCTACCTGCCCCTCAACACGTTCCTGCTCAAGCCCATCCAGCGCCTCATGCACTACAAGCTCATCCTGGAGAGACTATGCAAGCATTATTCACCTGAACACAGAGACCACGACGACTGCAAGGGTGAGTTTTCTAAAGCTTAAACTCTATCACCCAATAGACAGTGAATATCAAACAAAATATGTTGCTCTAATGATTAGACTAGGTATTCTGACTCGGTGTTTAGGTTCTCTAAAACATCCTTCATCTGTATTTGTATAAACTCGCCTTATCTTATGAGCAGCAAAGAGTGAAGATGATGATGGAAGTGAATAAAGGCAGGTTAGAGGAGAAACGCAGGTACATCACCCTCATGCCTGTATATTACATCTGTATTGAATGACAACTAAAAAAAATCAACTTGGCATAGTTTCATACACAGAACATAATGAGAAGTGCTTTATATGAAGTCATATAGATAATAGTAAATATTTTATAAGTTAATGTACAGATGCAAGAAAATGTAATGGCACTGTTTGCACTTTCCTGATTTTCTGCATAAAAATAGTCATGATTTGCGATCTGCTCTTCACAAATATCAACAAACACAATTTCTAAGATGATAAAACAATCATGATCTTTCATGTCTTTATTGATCAATGAAATGAGAATGGAGGTCCTGTTTAGAACTGCTAATGTTTGCTTTTTGTTTAACTGTATATAGGAGGCAAGAATGAGATATGGTAGTGGTAGTCCTAACAGATCCAGGATCAGACTATAACTTGGTCAGGGGACATGACATGCTCCACATTTGACTTTCGTGACCTGTGACATACATAGGTGATAGGGGTGTAAAGGTACAGGATTCTAGGTTCAGTGCACATATAGTGCCTTGCAAAAATATTTATACTCCTTGAATTTTTCCACATTTTGTCACATTACAACCACAAACTTAAATGTATTTTATGTGATAGATCAACACAAACTTGTGAAGTGGAAGGAAAATGATACGTGGTGGTCAAGATTTTTTACAAATAAAAATCTGAAAAGTGTGGCGTGCATATGTATTCAGCCCCCTTCTGAATACTTTCCATACCCACTGTACATACAGTATTCAGACCCCCATAAATTTTTCACTCTTTGTTATATTGCAGCCATATGCTAAACTAATTTAGGTTCATTTTTTTCCTCAGTAATGTACACACAGCACCCCATATTGACAGAAAAACACAGAATGACATTTTTGCAGATTTATTAAAAAAGAAAAACTGAAATATCACATGGTCATAAGTATTCAGACCCTTTGCTCAGTATTTAGTAGAAGCACCCTTTTGAGCTAATACAGCCATGAGTCTTTTTGGGAATGATGCAACAAGTTTTTCACACCTGCATTTGGGGATCCTCTGCCATTCCTCCTTGCAGATCCTCTCCAGTTCTGTCAGGTTGGATGGTAAACGTGGGTGGACAGCCATTTTCAGGTCTCTCCAGAGATGCTCAATGGGGTTTAAGTCAGGGCTCTGGCTGGGCCATTCAAGAACAGTCACAGAGTTGTTGTGAAGCCACTCCTTCGTTATTTTAGCTGTGTGCTTAGGGTCATTGTCTTGTTGGAAGGTGAACCTTCAGCCCAGTCTGAGGTCCTGAGCACTCTGGAGAAGGTTTTCGTCCAGGATATCCCTGTACTTGGCCGCATTCACCCTTCCCTCGATTGCAACCAGTCGTCCTGTCCCTGCAGCTGAAAAACACCCCCATAGCATGATGCTGCCACCACCATGCTGCACTGTTGGGACTGTATTGGACAGGTGATGAGCAGTGCCTGGTTTTCTCCACACATACCACTTAGAATTAAGGCCAAAAAGTTCTATCTTGGTCTCATCAGACCAGAGAATCGTATTTCTCACCATCTTGGAGTCCTTCAGGTGTTTTTTAGCAAACTCCATGCGGGCTTTCATGTGTCTTGCACTGAGGAGAGGCTCCCGTCGGGCCACTCTGCCATAAAGCCCCGACTGGTGGAGGGCTGCAGTGATGGTTGACTTTCTACAACTTTCTCCCATCTCCCGACTGCATCTCTGGAGCTCAGCCACAGTCATCTTTGGGTTCTTCTGTACCTCTCTCACCAAGGCTCTTCTCCCCCGATAGCTCAGTTTGGCCGGACGGCCAGCTCTAGGAAGGGTTCTGGTCGTCCCAAACGTCTTCCATTTAAGGATTATAGAGGCCACTGTGCTCTTAGGAACCTTAAGTGCAGCAGAAATGTTTTTGTAACCTTGGCCAGATCTGTGCCTTGCCACAATTCTGTCTCTGAGCTCTTCAGGCAGTTCCTTTGACCTCATGATTCTCATTTGCTCTGACATGCACTGTGAGCTGTAGGGTCTTATATAGACAGGTGTGTGGCTTTCCTAATCACGTCCAATCAGTATAATCAAACACAGCTGGACTCAAATGAAGGTGTAGAACCATCTCAGGGATGATCAGAAGAAATGGACAGCACCTAAGTTAAATATATGAGTGTCACAGCAAAGGGTCTGAATACTTATGACCATGTGATATTTCAGTTTTTCTTTTTTAATACATCTGCAAAAATGTCAAAAATTCTGTGTTTTTCTGTCAATATGGGGTGCTGTGTGTACATTAATGAGGAAAAATATGAACTTAAATGATTTTAGCATATGGCTTCAATATAACAAAGAGTGAAAAATTTAAGGGGGTCTGAATACTTTCCGTACCCACTGTATGTACCATATGCAATCTGTGATGGGAAGTTAACAGTGGGCTTGTTTTGTGTGTGGAATATTTTTTCCAAATGCATTAAGTGGCAGGTCAGAGCGCACAGTTTAGCCAAGACTCTGGCTAGTGAGTGTCACTGCCAATGCAAACGAGAAGCCAGAGCTACAGCAGGAGACCCTTGCTTAATGTTAAGGTCTTCTGTTTGGGAACTTTTTGGCTTTAAGTTATCGTGCTCTGGTCCACCACTTGATGTGCTCATTCAACGATTATCGGGTATGTTTTTGACCGCACGTCAAACTTGATGACGCGGACGTGAATAATCACGGCTGCAAAGAAAACCAAGTGTAGTACAGACACTGCTTCCATCATCTAAACAGCCTTTCCCTGGTCATTGGAGCACAGCAATGTTCTATTTTGTTTCATTTCAATTTTAAAGAGTAGCTGTCCCTGGTAGGCTAGTGGTTAAGGCGCAGCGCTCTCGCCGCTGCAGCCCAGGTTCGAATCAGGGTTGCATCAGGAAGGGCATCCAACGTAAAACACATGCCAAATGTCAACATGCGAGTCATCAGTGTGACGATTCGCTGTGGCGACCCCTAAATGGGAAAAAGCCGAAAGTGACTTTCTTTCTTGAATTTGAAAGTACAAATGGTTGTTTATAAAGTTCCTAATAGATGACAGTTTTTGTGTGCTCTTAATAACCCTAAATGGTGATCAGTAAGGTTATTGTTCCTCCTGACAATACCAAATACTAATGCTTACCTGTACACATGATTCTCATCATTGTTGTTTCTGTGCAGAGGCTCTGAGGGAGGTGGCCGAGATATCCATTCAGCTGCAGAGCAGTCTTATCCGGCTGGAGAATTTCCAGAAGCTAACGGAGCTCCAGAGAGACCTGATTGGTATAGAGAACCTAACAGCACCAGGAAGGGTGAGTGCAGCAGAACGGAGGGTAGGTGGCGCTGTCAAACAGGACTGAGAAGCTAAATGGACAGTGTGTGCTAAGTGTCATGTTTCTTTAGGAGTTCATTCGAGAGGGATGTCTGTTCAAGCTCACCAAGAAAGGCCTGCAGCAACGAATGTTCTTCTTGGTCAGTACAAATTTCTTCTCACTTAAATCTTAAGTAAAGCTTCAGCAGTCGGTCACCTTTTCTTATTTATTGTCTTTTCAGTTCTCAGACATGCTCCTCTACACAAGCAAAGGTGTTACAGCGACTAATCAGTTCAAAGTGCACGGACAGCTGCCCCTTCATGGCATGATAGTAAGTATACAAACTGTAGGTCACCTCTTCAGACTTGCTGGGTTTCCACTATCGGAAGCTAATGACCGGTATACTTCACCCCGTATAACCTCCTGGGTCGCCGAGGACCATTCTGCTTTGTTTTTCCATTGTAATTTCTCTCTGAGGGTTCTTGGTTTAGAGGAGGGAGCTGAGCAGAGGGAGAACAGACAAAATAAAGGATCACTCCATAGAATAACAATCAGCCAGTAACAGGCTGTATGAGCAGTCTATCAAACAGACATGTGATATCATCACCACTTTGCTTGTGGTCCACTCACTGAAGTCCCTGTTTTGTCTGTAAACCAGCGAGTGAAGTCCTCCTTTTACCTCTAAACCACTATAAATGCCTCTTTACACACACCCTGCTTGTAATGCTAATTTTTGAGGTGTGAGGAGCGGACATTTAACCAATTACTGGCGACTGTAGTACGACCTGACGGGTGCCACATTTTTGCTCCTGGAATGCACTTCGAAAGTGGGCGCACGGCAGTGGAAACAAACACAAAACCCGTGACGAGCGTTACTCGGCTTGACATGTTTCGGTGGGTTCCTATTATTGGAGGAAAAAAAGCCCCCTTCTGTTGTTAACCTGCACCAGTCATGCAAAGACCGCACTATGATGTGGGAATGTGTAGGTCAGGGTGGTAGTATTGGGGATGTCTCAGTGTGCTGAAGGGAGGGCCTGGGTCTCCTAACTCTGCATGTCTCTGCTTCACTCCTGGCTGCAGCTCATAGTACTGGATGCACCGGTAAGTCCTCTGAGCTCTGCCAACATGGATGCCCAAACCCTACCCTTTATCTGCTGTGCTTGTGTAGACTAATCATGAAAAAGCACACCTAGCAGACTCATGTCAGACTTTGCTTGTGGCAACTCTTTGTGGTTATACTGTACATCAGGCCAAAACACAACTGCTGAAATGTCACTGAAATGAAACGTCCGAGCACAGAGTGGTGTTTTCAAAGCTGGTGGGTGTGTTTTGAGTTGAACATGGATAATGATAGGAGGATAAATGAACAGAACACCTTACACCCATGCTGTGTGTGTATATATAGTTGGTCCAGTAGAGGCTCTGTGGCAGGTCTCTCTGACTTCAGCTTTTCCCCTTCTTTCTGTTCTGATCTTAAATCATGTGTTATAAACAAAGTTGTCCAGCTCGCCATTGTGAGGCTGCACCTGGTTGAATTTCTCTGATTTTCTCTTTTGTCTCTAGGTTGAGGAAAGTGAAAATGAGTGGTCAGTCCCCCACTGTTTCACCATCTACTCTGCCCAGAGAACCATTGTTGTGGCTGCAAGGTGAGAGGTGAAAAACAAGGAACAAAGTTTGCGCACTGTATTGAGATCCCAGTAATTTAAGTCAATAGCAACAGCAGTGCTTCAATCTATACAGGATCCTCATCAGGCATCAGAGGCACGTTTTTATGCACACCTGCTAAAACAGATCGAAAACACCTGTTGGTATCTAACTAATTTGGAAAGAATCTGCTTCAGTGTGATGCCTGTTTAATAATGCCTGATGAGGATCCTGTATAGATCGAAACTTTGCTGCTATTGAATTTAATTATTGGGAGCTCAGTACAGTGTGCAGACTTTTCTCTTATTTATTTATTTATTTATTTATTTGCTTTAAGCTGTTGGTTCAGCACCTGTACAAGTTTTTTGCGAGGTGAGAGATGGAAAGAAAAGTCAAAAGCTACATGACACTGTGTAATTATTAGTAGGACGTTGTTAATGGATGAATAACAGGAGCATGTAAATGTAAAGGAACTCGGTGCAGACTCACTTATCAAACAAAACAGTCATGTTGATTTAAAAATCATGTTTTGGCACAGTTTGATTAAAAAGAATAACAATGCTAGCTTTTCCTGAGCAGTCGGATAATCAGACAGGGTGTCGGCACCCAGGGTAGCCAAACTTTTTTGGAAGATAAAACACTGATGAGCAATAAAATTAGGACCCACATTGTCCTTTGTAATCTTCTATCATGGAATATGGTTTGGTTTGGGCTTTTCTTTGCCTATTGTGCTTGTAGTGTTTTCCTGTGTAATAAGGGATTATTACAGACATTTAAAGTGTGGTCACTTTTGGTTTTAACTCCAAACAAGGTGGTTCACATCTGGAAAAAGCTTCCAGATGTCAAATTGCTTTAGGAGTGCAGTATTATTATCAATAGAAGAAATGGCCTAAAGTCATAATAAACTGGTGTTATCCACTCATAGCAATACAGATGTTGGCAAAATGCTTATAAATGAGTATACAAGAAATATGAGCAGTTGTGCTCCATCTACTGTATAAATGCACAACTGCTTATCAACATGCAATTTATTGCAGGTTTATTGCTTCCTCTTTGTGTTTCAGCTCTAGAGTGGAAATGGGGAAGTGGATCGAGGATCTGAACATGGCTATTGACCTAGCCAAGAAGTCTCAAGAGAAATCCAACATCTTCCTCGATGCTGAGCTCAGTGATCGCTCCAACCGTAAGAGCTCCAGTGTTATGTTAAGAATAACTGCAATGTCTTTTGGGTGGAAATGTGTGCATTGTTTTGTATTTTCATCAGGATTTTAAAAAATGCCTTTGGACACTAGCCATCCAAATGTACAGTTAATCCCTTTCCTCCACACAACTTCCTGTGCCCTTCCTCAGGGTCATCTGATGAGGTTTCTCTGGAGCAGGAGTCGGAGGATGACACGAACTCCTCCCGTACTTCACTGGATAAGCAGACGCATCACCGTGCCAACACAACCATGCATGTGTGCTGGCACCGCAACACCAGTGTATCTATGTCTGACCACAGTCTGGCTGTGGAGGTACTCCTCCTCTGCCCACAGTGGCGCACCAGCGTACACATCCACACACTCAAACACAGACCATAGGAGCACATCCCAGTGTCTTCCACCACCACTGCATTGGTGGATTGGAGCAAAGTGGCTGTCATCACTAAGGGGTTCATCTAATCCTTCAGTTCCTGTTTGTCTTTTCCCCCGGGGACTGTTAATGTCCTGTGTTTTCACTGAAGTGTTCTGGAAGGTCTTTTGTTCAGTTCTCATGCGAGTGAAAGCATTTTCTTAATATGCATGCAAGGAGGATTGTGTGATCATTTCTCTGATGCTAACATTTTCACTTGACAGACCTGGAGGACTACCTGACCACTTCTTCTCTCCCCTGCTTTCTTCTCAGTGCTAACGGTCTAACACTTTCTCTACGCCCTGTCTTCCCTTTTGTCTCTGCACCCTCTCAGTCTTCGGCTCTCCGGCCATCTCGCCAGAGCTGCCTCCTCGCTATCTCCTCGGTCAGGGCCAAAGACCAAACACCATCACACACGTTTGCTGGTACCGAAACCAGAACCTCTCACTCACTGATTACCTGCGCATGAACCAGGTACTGGAATTGTGGGCCACAACAGATGGCAAGAAGAAGCTGAATTAATAGCAGTTAATCGTACATTTCACCAAATTATGTGAAAAACATCTGAATTTTTGTTACAGAAAAACCATAGATCGTGTCAACAAGAGCAAAACGAATTACATCAGCACACAAATCAGTGTTTGTTCACGTGCTGAGGAAAACTGATTGAAAGAAAAAGTACAACTCTTTTGGTTTGTTACCACAGCTTTTGTGGATTAGTTTGTTCATAACTCAGGCAGAAGTAGTTTTATTGGTTGTAATAACATTGTGCTCAGTAATTGCTGAATGTTGTGAACATAAAACTGGGTACAGTGTAATCCTGAGCAGTCATCTGGGTTATAAACCTGCCAGCAGTTTTACCAGATGACCTACAGGTTTATTTGGATGTCACTAATGACCCTTTATAGCACATGAAAACCATAAATGTGCACAACTAGGGCAAACACAGTAGGTCAAAGCTGAACAAGGAGGTTTGGCTGTGAACTGTGGTGGGTGTCGGACAGGCAGGGCTGTAACACTAGCGCTGGGCTTGGGGGTTTGTCTTACAAGTGCATGTGACGAACTTGCTGGTGTGTTTTCAGCCTGTATGATCATTGGACCTCATTACTTTAGTGAGTGCAGTGTTAACTGGTAGAACCAGTGGCGGGAGATAGAAAATTGTAAATAGTTTAAAGCCGTAGCTTTTTCCTTGAGTGCACGTAAACAGTGACATGAACATGATAAACAGTGAGATGAACATGAGCAGCCAAACATCTTGGCTGATATGAAAGTGATCAGTGTTTACAGACAGGAGAGGAGCTCGGAAGGAGATGGACAACAACGCATGACCTAGTGAAAGAACTGTAGATTGCAAAGCCCTAATTAAACACAGCACCCCCCACGTAACCAGTGAGAGACACCACAGCCACTCACTCACACCGTCACTAATCACTCTGTTGTTTTGAATGTTTAAACATTGTCATTGTCTCTGTCAAGCCTTGATATTTTCTGCTGTGTCTGCCTGTGCAGAACCAGCTGTCAGGTTACCTCCTGAGGAAGTTCAAGAACAGTAACGGGTGGCAGAAACTCTGGGTTGTTTTCACCAACTTCTGCTTGTTCTTCTACAAGACTCACCAGGTTAGCCTTCACATCCCGTCAGTCCTTCTCTCTGCCACAGTACACGCCTAGTAGAGCCATGTAACTGAGGTGAGAGGGTTTTGTGTTTGCAGGACGACTTCCCGCTGGCTAGTTTGCCCCTGCTCGGCTACACAGTTAGCACTCCTGAGGAGTCGGACAGCATCCACAAGGAGTATGTCTTCAAACTGCAGTTCAAGTCCCATGTTTACTTTTTCAGGGCAGAGAGCGAGTACACCTTTGAAAGGTACTAGCACATGCACTTGTTCATGATTGATTCGATGACTCCCAGAGCACCATGGGTCCCGCTGAGGTCATGACCTGATAGTTTTACAGCTGTGTCTGCCATGTGCTCTTAACAGATGGATGGAGGTGATCAAGAGTGCGGCCAGCACTGCAGGCTGGATGAGTCTGCTCGTGCCCAAAGGGGGGCCCACAGAGGTGAACGGAAACTGACTGAAACATCAAGTATCCAGAGGCTGGGCCTCTGGGATGCCAGAAGGAGACTGTTTAGTCTGAATGGAAGGTTTGACCAGTATCACCTGGAGACTGGAAGATAGTGCCAGTTTAACATTTCTCTACTTAATTCTAATGGTCATTTTTTTGATTAATGATGTAAATGATGAGATTTATTCCAGTACACAGAATATAATGAAAGGGAGTCATGTACATGATTATCTTTTTTTTTTTTTTTTTTTTTTTTGCATGTGTAGTGCTCAGTTTGGCTGTGTAATACATACTGATGGCACAGGAAACACTGTTTTATGGGGACCAAATCATCAGAGGGCATAAATCCAAGCTTTTTGAGGGACATTTCTCTTCAGCACATGACAACTAGAGCTTTGTTTGGTACAGCATGTGGAAAACGAAGGTACAAGCCAGTTTGTTCTCTTCATTGTGCTTTGAAAGCACTAAAGGTGTGTGAGATGAATGTGAGCAAGAAGGTTCGCGGAAATGAGTTTGAGACGTCAATTGTAGAAGATGCTTGGACATTTTGAGGAATTTGTGCTGCAGTTAGGACAAAGACACAACAAATCCGGCTTCAGACATTTAGCAAAGTGTACATGTCGCAGGGTTTGAAGCGTGAACCTGTACGAGCAGAATGTATCAGGCTTTCTTTGCCTGGTAAAGTAAGGATGCTCTAAAGGGGTGTTCCTGAGTAATTAGGCAGCGTTACAGCCAGCTCAGTGCTACATTTTGGTCTTTAATATAATATAATTGAATAGTTGTAACAGCTTGAGGAAATGCTGTGCAGTGGTTACACTAGTGTTTACTCTGTAAAAGGTACAGACTTTCTACAAACAGAACAAACTTTGAAGTAATTGTATTTTGTGATGTTTTGCTGATGTCAGATGTTATTGACACTTATTGCCATTTATTTAATGTGCTTCATGAAAATATATGGAAATATTTGGCATTTGTTTTATGAAAACTGGAATCTATACCGTGTGTGTGTGCGCGCGCGCGCGCGCCCCCCAACTGTGTAGTCCCACCTACACCTCCCCTGCCTCTGGACCTATAATGGGTGATAAAGGTCCTCCCCAAACCACCGTGTGTGTGTGTGTGTGTGTGTGTGTGTGTGTGTGTGTAAGAGACTGACTCTGTTGCACAGTTAACATCCACTATGTTTCTCCTATTTATTGTTTAGCATGTCATCAGACCCTGCTTCTGAAAGCCCTCATGTAGTCTTCATGTTATTCCATTGAAACCCTAACCAATAAATGATCATTTCAATCAATGTGTTTGTTTTACATACTTTGGTGCAGATTTTTCAGAAAACTTCTTGCCTACAGGTGTCTGCTCAGTCTCTGGTGGTACACTTGAACATACATCGGTCAGCCATAACATTATGGCCACGTGCCCAATACTGTTTACACAGGAGTCAGTGTGGCAGTTGTTTGGCACTTGTCACTCTGCAGCTCACTGTGCATCTTCTGTGAATCCATTTGCTTCCACAGTTCTACTGTCAGGAAGAGCACAGATGTGTCTACAATTCAGTGAGAAACTTATGTAAAAGGAGTGAAAACTGTGGTTGTGAGGACGAGTTAGAGAATTATTAGACAAATTCATCAGCCTCACCACGCTAGGTGTGATATCACCACTACAGCCCCTGACTCTTTCTCTTCATAGAGACCAATGGACAGTATTTTTCATTTTCACACATTTAACAAAGGTTCAAACTAAATGGAATCTTTTGAAAAGTACAAATGGAAGTTAAAAGTTTAATCTACAGTAGATCAACCTCATCATCAGTGACACTCAGATCCTGACCCTTGTCCATTTTTCCTGCTTCCAACACATCAACTTTGAGGACTGAATGTTCACTTGCTGCCTAATATACCCCACACACTGACAGGTCACTGTAACAGATAGTCAATGTTATTCACCTGCCAGTGGTCAGAATGTTATGGCTGATTGGTGTATTAGGTATCTTTCTGAAGGTACTTAACAGCACAAGAAGTTTCAGTTGCTGAATCACAGGCTGCGTTTATGTAATTCTGACACTTGACCTTATCAGACCAGTTTGTCACCACCTCATGCTTTAAGAGTGAGCCATGACCAATTCCTGACTGCATTAAAAATAACCACGTTCACATTTTCAAAGGGCAAAAATCAAACAGAGCCGCAGTGAAGATGTTTTCTTGTCATTTTGTTCAAGTTGCATCACTAGAATTGAACAAACAGGAGAATAATCAGCATTTTTGTCTCTGTTGCTTTTAAAAATAAAAAGATTGTACTAATATGGGGTGACTACATTCTGGGGATTCAACATGTCATTTAAAGTTTTGCACTTTATATATGAAAAGACAGCATTTTATGTTTAAAGGTAAGAATTTGCCAAGCCATACTGTCACTTCACTGAAATTCTGTTGTGAAGCCTGAGGCAAAGTAATTGTGAAATGCTATAAGAACACATGAGCTCAGAGATTGGGAAATAGAGCTTAGATTACACCTGGTTATAGAGGTCTATGTCCTCAAAAGAAAATGTTGTCAAAGGAAGGTAACAGCGAGAGGAGAAAGTCTCACTGAGCTTTCCTGTGATCAAGAGCTTAAAGAGAGCATTGTCCACAGTCTGGGACCTGCAATTGTGCTGAGCAGTCATAAACAATCAGGGCATTCCTCAGACATGTCCTAACAGTGTGAACACTGGGTGGGGTGGCTTCCCCAGAAATGTCAGTATGATTCATCTACCACGGAAACCAAATAGTTTTTTGTTAGGGAGTGTCACTGACTGCTGTCAGGGACTTTTCCCTTCAAGACACATTACATTTATTCTGATACCTTTATCTGATGGGTCTTTGACAGTTGGTAGATTAGTTTTATGTTTACAGCATGATGAACTCATATGTTGCATTCAGAACACAGAATGCAATGTGTTTGTTTCAAATCCATACCATGGCCAGTCTTCGTTAGACAGAGGAAATGATAACTGATCTTCCTCATTTGCAACACATGCACTGCATGATGTGACCTTACACCTTCTGTGCTCCTGGTAGATGTCCAATGCCAGCAGGGCTGTATAGAGACAGTGAACCTTGTGTCCGACAACCCTACCCACTTAAGTCAATTTACCAGCACCAAAAGATAACACTTCTTTGTTTCATATCTTTATTCTTTTAGTTAACTGTTTGAAGAAATGATGAAACCATGCTCATAGTTGTAGACAAAACTCGGGGTTTTATTTTGGCAAGGTTCCAGTATGTTTCCTGTTGAATGTAAGAGATAACAGAACAGGACGACTCGAGCTGACATTTGATGATGTTATTCTGCAGGCACACCTTTAATAAATCCAGTAATTAACTGTTAGCTGAGATACCTCTGTGTGCGTGTGGGTGTGCGTGCGGTAGCCTGGGTGTGGGCGGAGGGGCGGGACTTGTGCTCTCTCTGCCTTTGGACTTCACATGAAGTGCCCTTAGAAGGAAGGCGCGTCTGTGCACTGGAGTCTTTATATTTACAGTGGTAGCAAGTCCTCATTGTCCAAGTCAGCGATCAAAACCACTTTTCTGACACGATGCAGCTCGTTTGGGATGATATTGTACCTGGGGCTTCTTAGCCTATTATTTCTCGGGTAAGAATATTTTAATTGTCCTTACCTTCATTCTTTCCTAGTCTAGTCTCAAACTTTTCTTCGCTTTCTCCTTAGTCTGGGTTTATATAACTGTTGCAACAGTAGATTTTGACTGCGTTTGCTTAGGGCAGCTTTATCCAGGTTAGCAAAGGTTGTCCGCAAACTAATCCGCGTGTTTGTTATGCAAGATCATCTGCAGAAGGCTTCCTGGCTTCTGGAAGAGGAGCTGCAGGACGTGTGCGTGAGGCGGTGGAGACGGGGAGGTGAGCAGCGCACGCCGCGGCGGATGACACGGGCATGGAGATGTTGCGCCGCTCCTCTGTGTTTGCGGCTGAAGTGTTTGACCGCTCGCCCACCGACAAGGAGTTGGTGTCCCAGGCCAAAGCACTGTGCAGGGACTACATCCACTCCAGGCTGAACCGTGCCGGGATGGGCTGGTCTAAGCCTGAACACGTACTGGCTGCATCAGGTGGGACGCTGGGGGAAATCTCGTCGGTTCTGCTGTGGCTGGGTAGGTTTTTCCACATGGTCTACCAGAACCTCGACATTAGCCTGTATTCATATAGCTAGAGCCATGATCAACTAGAAAAATGCGTTTAATGATGGGCTTAAGGGCGCAGTCTGAGGTGGAAGTAGAGCTGCCAATACAGTAGAAAAATGCCCCACAAGTAAAAGTCCTGCATTACTTAAGTAAAAGTACAAAACTCTTTGCGTCAAAATATATAGCCTGCATAAGCATGGAAAATTTGGACAGGGTTCCGTGGGTCTCTTCAGAATTCTCTGGGATATTTGGACTCATGGTCTCTGTATTTCTAAAAATCCTTTACCCAAAGATTGGGCAAATGGGTTAATGAGCCACACAATGGGAAGTGGGTTCACAGCCCAAATGATGGCTGGGTAGACCAATGACCTACAGGATTACCAGGTAGCCACCAACATGTGACTTCAGCGGCCCTCAAGATGTAATAATCCATGGAAGTTAAACACTTGGATCTACCCCACGGTCAGTCAGAACTGAAAAAGCTTCTTGGATGAGAAGTGCAACATCTCCAAGAGCTTCAAGCAAGTTCAGCTGCCAGCTATATAACTTTTTATGCCCTTATATGACATCAAATCTCATCATTCAGAATGTGCTGTGACAGCACTTTTGGTTTTTACTGGAAGACCTTGAAGTGTTTCAGGGAATCCCCATAAAAATAAGGGACATAGTTTCATTTATGTGTATTTTTCTGCTGGATGTTTGCCCAGTATGAAAAGTGATATACTACAGATGGCTCTTCTAACCCGAGGTTGCCTCCAGTTTAAGGACTTTAGCAATTCACTGAAAACTCTGATCTAGCAGAAAATGGGACTGTGTTTATAAAAAAAATCAGGGGGACTTGGGTCTAATGGACACATGGGGAAAACTTTCAGAGTCTCCCATATCAATCCAAGATGAGTAGCCAACAAAGAGATCTGACATAGACTTACACTATCCTGCTGAGAACTGGATGTGAAGACCAATACCACTCAAGACTGTACAGTTAATATGTAGCCTGAGCCAGTAGCTGCTTAGCTTAGCTTAGCTTATCACAAAGCCTGGAAACCAAAGGAAACTGCTAGCATGGATCTGTCGAAATGTAACTAAATCCACCTACTAGCATCTTTAAAGCTGACTAATTAACTGTTATATCTTGTTTAATCTGTAGAAAAAGTGCAGTGGAAAAACAGTATTATTGATGGTATACCTTGGAAGCTAGCCAAGCCAACTATTCCTGCTACTTCCAGTTTTTATACCCTGCTAACTGGCTCCAGCCACATAATTACACGAATGTTATCAATTTTATCATCTACTTCCAGCAAGACAGTACATATGTGAATTTTCTAAAATGTCAAACTATTCCTTTAACTCAGAAGACTTATTTTAGCTATTTAAATAGTGTTTCATTAACATTCTCACAATCACTTAGTGATTGTCTATGAAAATATTATCATGGTATTCTCCGTTCCTGCCTGCTCGTATCTTACAAAAGCACCATCAAAGGCCTGAGAGAATAAAAGTTCTGGTGAGAGTATCAGCCTAGTTATCAACTCTACATTTTAACCTCTTTTTAAGATATGGCACGCTGAACACCAGCAACTACACTACAAGTGGCAGTTGGGATAAGTGCAAGAACTACTGTTAAGAATTTAGGTAAAACATTAAGCTAATGTTCCAGTAATACAAGTGGAGAAGTGTAATAAAGTCAGCCAGCTGACTCAGTTTTGTCTGTTATACAGTAATATTCACCTAAAGTCTGCTAGCATTAGTTACCACAAGCTATACCAGATTATGTATTGAACAAGTGTGCAGTTTATATCTAATGAATTCAACTACTCGTGAGGAAAAATGTGTCATTGCCTCAATTAAAAGTTACATAGTGTGTCTTTTTATTCAATGAATTTTAAGTTTTGACTTGGTTTCTTTTGTTTTGGCCAGGTGATGAGTTGGAGTACCTTCGACCCAATGTTTACCGTAATGTAGCAAAGCAGCTCAACATCACCGTGGCATCGGAGAGCGTGGTGTCTGATGCCTTCCTGGCTGTGGCCTCAGACATTTTCTCCACAGGTAGGTCCCCTTGAAATTGTGCTTGTTTTTTTAATTCCAGGTGTGCCTGCAGGCCTGCTCATAGGAATCAGATTTAGTAGTTTATGAAGTTTCTCTTTTTACATACACAAAGTGGGCCTTGAAAATAAAGGAAGCCATTTTTGCTTTTGGGGAAGTTCATCATTCGGTTGTCAGTGGAAAGGAGGAACTTTGGAGCACTTTGGGGGGGGGAGCCAATCCCGGCCGGCAATCGGGCGAAGGCAGGTTACACCCTGGACAGGTCGCCAATCCATCGCAGTCCTCTTAATGCTTACACAACAAGAACATTCTGTCCATGTTAGTGTAACTTGTTGCTAGAGTGAGTGATCATTACAGACAGTTTGGACCCCACCCTGGGAAATAAATCAAGAACCTCAGCTGGCTTTTTCCTCAGGGAATGTAACACAATCTGCTGCATTAAGGTAATTTTGAGCCAACTCCAAACAAACTTCAAAGAAAATCAGGTTAGTCTGGTCCTCAGTAGGAACAGTTATCATAATCATTAATTACTACAAACATGTTAAGATTAAGGAATATTTTAATCCAGATCTGCTCTTATAGTTCCAAATTTGAACATTGTGTTTATTTGGGATTTACATGGGTAAAAACAAATTGTCTTTAGGCTGTATTTCAGTGTACAGGATTTAAAAAAAGTAACCTTCAATAATTACAGTGTAAAAGTGGACATACAGTCAAACTGACAGTTTCAACTTGTCACTACGTGATGAGGAAGTCATGGGCAGCAGAAGATTATGACCACAAACTTGTCCCATGTAGCTTAGTCATGAATGTCGCGCTCCTTTACACAACGTACTGACAAGCTGCAGCTAAAACATCTTCTGACCTCCTCCTACACGTAGGATGAGTATCCTTGAAGCACTTTTTAAACTGTTACATTAGTAATGTGTGCAAAGTGAATGTTGCCACTGTATTGAAGCCAGTGGTCTCTGAGTTTCCCTCAGCTTTTTAGTATCTTTTAGCTCATTATTTTGGTTTTACACCTGGGAGCTTCACTGTTTCAGTTGAGTCGCACTCCTCAGGGTGGTTTCCAGATGCAGGCAGCTGTTTTTAGAGAAAAAGCTCTGATAAACCTAACTTAAACTGCCCGTCCAGCACCAGATGGCAGACAAACAAGGTTAACCACTCGGTGGTGAACATAGTGGAGGATTTAGCTGCTGAAGAGCCAGGCATTTTCCTTGAGGAATGGGCAGAGATCAAAAAGTGAGCTAAAAGGAGACTGAATATTGCACTTACATTCAGTAGGTTGCTAGAACTACCACAGCAAATGAATGCTATTGTTGCTCCATATCTGCTAATGTGGAGATAAGGAAGTGTTTGCTAACATGTCTGCCATATCAGCTTAAATTGTGATAATATGTAGGGTAAGTGTTGTGTTTACAGCTTGTTTTAATGTTTAAAATGTTTCTCTCATGACTCCCCCAGCTCTATGGAAGTACAATACTAAGCCAGTGGAGTAGTGGTGCAAAGCCCTCACGTTTTCAGTCTAAAGGTCCTAATAGGACATCTGCATATTTTCTTTTTGCCTTGCATTAAGAAAAGCATGTATCTTTAACAACAGGAGCACCTTTAATAACTTAACTGCAGCACACCCATGTTAGTGTATATACAGTGTAGTGTAGTTGAGTTAGCACCTATGGTGGGACCCTACCTCAGTGGGCATTATGTAGATTTTACACATAAAGGTCAGTTTACTAGTGATGGAAACTGTGTAAACGGTTTTATGATGTTCTGTGGCTTTAAAGCGCCTTTGTCAAGTATGAGAAAATAACCCTGAAGATGTAATCATGGTTGTCTCAGCATGGGCTTAGAGACTAAGCAGGCGTTCAGATTTGAGTGCATTACACAGCCCCAATACAGGGGGCAGTGTTGGTGGTGGTGGGGTTGCAGGGGGGAGTGTGTCGTAAGCGTGTATGATACGGCCATGTTGTGATGAGTCGACATGAGTGGCTTCATTCACGTTTCCAGCCAGTGAGTTTGTTGTGTTTTTGGTTAGCCATGCTGCTAACGTAGCCTACTTGACACCGGTTTCTACCACCAGTGTGTCAGCACTGACAGATAAACAACACCATTTAAAATCCAGTACCCTAACTAACAAAAACTCATGGTGTGTTATGTAACTGTGGCCTAAATTTGAGAGTGAATATTAGTGAATGTTCATGGTAACATGACTTTCTCTTCACAAAAAAGTCTTCTTCCTGTGGCCGTCTATGTTCCAACCCTGCATTGTTGGATGACGTCACCGTCTGGTGCAACAAAAGTTGTGTCATTTTGCCAGAGTACCCTGCGGTGCTGGTTCCGGCTGCGGTGAAGGCGATCCTCCACACTAATGAATGTAGAGGGTTGCATTTTTTCACACCTGTGACACTCGATCTGAACGTGGGCTAACGGAGCATTTACACATGTAAATCCAAAAGGATGGAGCAGCGACAGCTGCCATTTGTAGTGAATGAGATGGGCTTTGCAGGCCAGCTACTTTGTATCATATGGGTTTGAATTACAGTATATAGGTGTTTAATGGGCAGGAAGGCTGTAACTACAGTCAAGTTGAAATATTGTGTGGATCTGTAGATGTGTGAGGTGTTTTTACAGCTCGTTAGTGTTTTAAAGTCAGAATATGAGCCTCCGATGCATCGATTTCAGCCACTACGGTATATAAAAATCTCTCTCTTACAAGGCCCCTAAAGGAGGCAAGTTTGAATTTAGTCAAATTTTATGTGAGAGTTCCATCAAAGTAGAAATTTATGGAAAAAACAAAATGCCAAGTAAGCAGTGTATAGAGAAGCGTGCACATGTGCGCGTGTGTGGTTAACATCCACACGGTGACTTTCCTGATGAGCACAATAAGCTGTCGACTTTGGGGAAAATGGATTTGGTTCAGAATGATTTTCATGATGTGGCCCTTGAATGCAGTGTACGTCTTATAATAGCCACTGTCTGAAGGTTTTATTTAACTCGCATCATTTACATTTCATTACCTTACTCAGGATACTTCTGTTAGGTATTTTTAGTCAGATAGATATTGGATAGATACTTTATGTATTAGAAATGTTTAGTGGAGATAGGATGTCTAGTTAGACTGTTAAATGCTTAGTCATGCTCATGAGTTTCTACAGGGTACATCTGGTCAAGGATAACTAGAGAAAAGTTGATGACTGTCAGCAGACAGGGTGTTTAATATTATTATTATGACGTGTAGAACTGTAGCCTTAGCCATAATATGTTCTTATGTTTAAGTCACGACATGTACTAGAGGTCGTGAGAATGTTTTTAGTTACACACCACTTAATCAACAGACACACACACACACACATTGATTTGCTTCATGTTTTGACTACTGCTATGACCAGCTGCAAAGCTGGTAACAGAGACGTCTCAGTTGACGTTTAGGTGCAAGATACCTGAGCGTGTAATGTTAATTTTACCTGTGATCCTTTGAATAAATCAGCACTGTTTTGTAGTTACTTGGACTGTCTCGTCTCTGAGTCAGTATGGTAAAAAGTACCGGGTACAACACTTCAGAGTAACAGTTCATTTCTTTCACTCTGAATATTGACTGATTGGTATTGTAGTGTTCACCTTGATGATAATTACATGGCACAATTAGTACAAGTAGGCAGAATACTGTATGGCTGCCAGACTCTTCAGATCTGTAATTTTTCTAACATTTCTTTAATGTTTTAGTTGATTATTTAGTTTTTGGAACCATTTGTACCAAAACTTTTAAAAAGGTTTAAAATGTAAACTTTAACTTAATCCCCTCTTGCCTCACCAAACATATTAATGTGCACAAAATTTAGAGCAGCATCCTGCAAATTCCAGACTCCACCATTAGAGAGAAACATGACCTCCGTTTATGAGATTCCAGGAAAGAATCGGACCCAGTCACAGAGATGGATGGAGTGGAGTTTATATGCTTTGGACTTGGAACCGAAACATTCTGAAACTTTGACTGTAAATGGTGCGGTGGCAGATAGTTTTGCTCCACATGTGAAATAAGTTGGGGAAAAAAGATCAGCTCACTACTCCAAGGCCTGTGCTTGGGTTTTCTGCTTTGTGGGACAGACAGGCATGCAGGCCTAATGCCTGGCTGCCCAGGCTTTATCATTTCTTCATCTGTCTTTAAAGAGAACTGCTGACAGAGACATTTGCTGTCCTAAAACCTACTCCAGCTATTCAACAAGAACAGTCAACTCTTAAAGCTACGATTCAACGCTTTTGTCAAAAGCGTTCATACATTAGATAGCAGGACATAAATGACTGTGGATAAACCTTTGCACAAGGATGCGATTTGTTTTGTTCTAATGGCTTTGTTGTGTATCTTTGCCAGGTGTGACATGGGGAAAGGTGGTTTCATTGTACGCCGTGGCAGGGGCCTTGGCAGTGGACTGTGTGCGCCACGGTTACCCAGCTATGGTCCATACCATTGTCGACTGCATGGGCGAGTTTGTCCGCAAAGCCCTGACCTCCTGGTTGAAAAGGCGAGGCGGCTGGGTAAGAGAAACTTTTTAAAACGTTCTTTACCTGATTACTTGTTTGTGTAGCTGAGTGTTTGCAAGTGTAACTAATAATAAAACTGTACCGCCTCTAGTTACACAATGATGAACTGGTGGTAATGGCAGACAGTGAAATGTAATAGGTTACAGATGACCAGTTACCATGTTAAAAATGTCAACTATTTTAATTGCTTCATCAAAATATTATAACTTGTTGCAGACTCTGATTAGGTTGGTGCCAAACATTTTGAACATTCTTCGACATATCATTGTAGAAATATGTAGCCTGCTCAAAGGGTACAGAAGAAAATCTAGATCTAAATTACATCTAGAACATTAAGCATTTTGATGTTGACAGCATTTTCAGTGCTGGTAAACAAGCTTTATTTTGTACAGCAGTGTTCGAGCCCTTTTCAGATTTTCTTACAAGAAACATATTGTTGACTTTTCAGCACCGAAAGGCATTGTTGTCAGACAACATGGTCACCCGGCTCAGTCTTGTTGGCAATGCACATTAATTTGACTGGTAGACGAGGGCCAGTGCAGAATCAATCAAAATCAATAATAATGGCAAATTGTTTCAGCTAATTGTTTATCTGGACATCCCATGGAAAGGAAGGACAGACACACTGTCCCTATAAATATTCTGCTGATACTTTGGCTAATACATGATGAGGAATAAATAAATAATGACAGGAAATATTATATTATCATAGGTATATTTTAAAACATTGTAATCATATTAGAAATTTTATATGGAAAATACACGCATGTAACTCACACTGTAAAGCACTAAACCCTCTGAGATGTTTGAATCTCCATAAACATGACCACAGAGGGCCTGAAATAATGGAGGAACTGAACGAGTGCTCTGGAGGTTCTTGTTTTAATGCTATGGTACTTGTTGATACTGCCTCTGTTGATCATACAGTCCTCTTGAATAATATGATGTGTCTCTTGCTGCCATCATAAGCTATACAATATATCTATAATTAATTACCAATTTTATGTTTAGGCTTGTTTTCTATATAAACACAGAACTGGATGTCCTGAGCATGAGGAAGGGAAAATGCACAACAGCTGACTTGAATTTAACTTGTAACTTTTTGGCTTACAAAAATGAACAGCAACACATAAACTGGAGCCACCTCATCGGATACCGGAGAAGAGAGCACGTATCATTTGTATAATCCTGTTAATGAGAAAAGCCTGTATGGTTAACTCAGACTGAAGAAATAATAAGGGCTGGCAGCGCTCCACTGGCTGTGTTCGTTCTGCTGACAAGAGTGCTACAAGTGAACACTCATGATTTCAGAAACATGGCACCCAGGAGTTCTGTTTTTTTAAGCAGTGTGACAAAATAGAGAGCAGTGCATTCATTAACTGACCTCATACGCCCAAATGAGGGCCCTGTTTTTCACAGCAGCAATTTACTGTCAATTCAAATTGGAACCTTTCTTCATGGAAAATGTCAGCACATAGGAAATTGTAATATTTTGTGATTTCAGCTCCGCCCAGTCCTTCAAGAGTGTTTGCTCTCAGGGCTGACACTAAACTGCACTGTGGTATTTAATTGCGTGTGAAAGTGTTCTAGCTGCACAAGTAGATTGTTGGATTGCATTGCTGAGATTACAGGGTGGACTTGGGCTTTGAAATAACATATTTGTGGGCAGGTTGTACATCTTCTCACTACAGATTCTCAGAGTATAGTTGGATTTATAGCATTGTGTACCACACCATTTGCTTCATGAATGACTTTCCTCTGTTGTTCATGGCACATCTATGACTCTGTGTCTTCTCTGCTGTTACAGGTGGATTTAACTAAATGTGTGGTCAACACTGATCCAAGCTTCCGCTCTCACTGGCTTGTGTCTGCTGCCTGCACCTTAGGACACTATCTGAAGGCCATTGTGTTATATCTCCTCAGGGAGAAGTGAAAGATGAAGTCAGAGACTGGTGTCTGAGCAGCTCTGTACACCACCATCACCACTCCATTAAGACAACCACTGCTTTGGATTATGTTTACACTCTGGTGCACTGAGCCTTCACCTGTCCCATCCCAGAAAATGGACCTTCCTTGCTTCTCCTAGATCCTCTTGTCTATTTATTGTTGATGGTTACATAGTATAGTGCCACACAATGGATGTGGATGCATAAATCCATCCACTCATAAAGTTTTTAGCTTTTCTTTTTTTCTTCCAACTGTCTACCTGCCCATTTTGCTGCCTGTTTGGCTGCCCCTAGTGATTGAAAATGGTAAATACCACTATTATATTCTACTACATTCACACTTAAATTGAGAATATTCTCCAGGATCATGAGATCCTGATCTTACAAAAATCTCCACTACTCATCTGGGTGGTATATGTGCTCCAACAGATAGTGCATGGCATCTTTTTTCTGAATTGTTTGAAAAATTTTTTTTGTTTTTTTCTTTTCTCACTCCAGATTTATTTTATTTCAGCCTGTGTAGACGGGTTTTTGTGTTTTCATCACAAACAGGACCTAACTGTCAGTTTTGAGACACACTCATCTATAGTGATGGTGCAGAGTGGTGCAGTTTTTTCCAAGTCGAAGGATAGATTAAAAGAACATCTTAATTATGCTTAAGACAGCCTTGCTTTTTACCCCCACCCAACACACACACACACACACACACACACCTACACCTACTACTATATACAGTCCCTAAAAAGAGCCTACAACTATTACAAATATGTATTTCAGACAGTACTACGCCTCCAGAGTAATTCTCTTCTGTGTTCCTTGTTCACTGTGAGACTGTGTATTATATTGCTGTACTGTAACTTCAGAAATGCAAGTTAGTGTTTTCTCTGAGTTAGAGCACTTTGATAATAACATTTCCATTTATAGGTAGAATTTATTCCATGAATAATTTCACTTTATATGGCATGTAGGACTAGAAAATAAGTAAATGTTTGAGTCCACTGCAACTGTAAATAATATTAAAAAATGGTTACAACAGTCCATGTCTGCATTTTAGTCGTTTTAATAAACTGTCTGTCTGTGACTATATGACATGTCTGTACCCAATGAAAACCCAGATTTACATTTATTCCAAAAGTTTTTATGTCCAATACTTATCAACTTTTTTGTACACTGAATTGTTTGGCTGTTGAACTGTACATATATTGTTGCATGTACAGTGCCATAGTAAAGGTGAAATAAATATTCAATACCTTTAAGAAGGGTACTATTTGCTATTTATTTGATATTTGGATGAAGAAGTCATTCTTGTATACTGTAGACAAAGGGAATCCTAATTTGACAAGATGATATGAAAAGTAGTAGTAGTACTTCCATTTTGTTTTTCTTGATGCATACTAGATTGCTGGGAACTGAAACTGCAGCAATAAGAGGAACCACCAGTAAGACACTTGTCATAGGTGAAGACTTAGATTTGTACAGGTCCATTACAAGAGCTGGTCTATGACTACACATATACTATACAACATATAACTATGTCTATATGTTAACAGGTGTGTGCCTAATGTATCTCACTTTGTGTATGTGTTTCTCTGTAAGCTGAGATTCAGAGTTCTTTTTGGAGATGGGAGAACCTTACAGAAGGAAACCCATCAGCACAGCACTCCACCAGTCAGGCCTCTGTGGTAGAGTCACCAGATGGAAGCCATTCTTCACCAGAAGGCACATGACAGCCAGTTGGGATTTTGCCAAAACGCACATGAATGACTCTCAGACCATGAGAAGCAAAGTCCTCTGGTCTGATGAAACAAACCAGGAGAAAACCAGGTACTTGGCATTACCTCATTAATACCATCCCTACAGTCAAACACAGTGGTGGGAGCATCATGCTGGGGGGATGGTTTTATGGAACTGGGAGACTAGTCAGGATAGAGAGAAGGATGGATGCAGAAAAATACACAATGCAATTCTGAATGAAAACCTTCTCCAGAGTGCTCAGGATCTCAGACTGGGGCAAAGGGTTACATTTCAACAAGACAAAGCATACCACCAAGAAAACACAGGAGTGGCTTTGTGAAAACTCTGGGACCGTCCTGGAGTGGCTCAGCCAGAGTCTGGACCTGAACCTAATAAAGCATCTCTGGAGAGACCTGAAAATGGCTGTGCACCAACACTCCCCATCCAACCTGGCTGTCTTTTAAGTATTCTGCCATGAAGAGTGGAAGAAAATTCCCATAGCCATATTTTTTAAATAAATTTTTAAAATACTTGGAAAACCTGTTTTCACTTTATCATTGTGGCGTATTGGCTGTAGACTGGTGAGAAAAAAAGCATATTAAGATGAGACTGAAACATAAAATGTGGAAAACTTGAAGGGGTCTGAAAACTTTCCGTACTGACTGCATATAGTATAACCCATGGATGACGTTTTCAACGGGAAGGATAAATCAGCCACTACTGATTGGCTGGACGAGCAGGAAAAACACTTCCATCTCCCAGATCTTATTGGATATCGTACAAAATGTCCCGCCTCTTTCCGAGTTCCACATCAGGACTCTCTTCCAATTGGTCCAGCGCTCGGAGTACAGAGAACGACAAACAAGATAGGGTGAAGATCGTCGGGATGGATGCAGGTAGGCAAGATTTTATAGCAAAATAACATTTTTTCTTTTCCTTAGCAAGCTAGTCTGGCTGTTGAATATTCACAGCATCCATATATCACACCTGGCAACAAAATCTCCTGCTCTGTCAAGACAAGATCGCCAATCCCTGCCATCAGTCCGACACAGAACCCGTCTTGCTTTGTAGCCTCGGTGACGTTAGCCTGCTAAAGTGATGACTAAAGCTAACTGCTAACTAACGTTAGCCTTTCTGTTGTTGCTAAATGTGGTTGTTTCCCCGCTTTGACAACTCACTCTGCTGCCCTATAACTTCATGTACAGTACCCAGCTGTCGCCTGTGTTAATATCATGTGTTGCTTTTAAGTTTCACTCTTAATAAATTGTCCTCTCTTCTTAGTTTGACTATTAATGCTAATGTTACGTTACGCCCAAGACGATGCACTGTCACCATCACATCAATTTTTATGCGACTGCTAATACCGGGAATGCTATTATGTGTCAGATAGGTTGTGTGGTATAAAGTATGACTTGTGTAATATTAGATAAGGATTTCCTATTACATTTGCTTCCCTTTTGGCTGAAAGTGTCCTTTCTGAAACTAGCTCTAATCCTTTAAATTGCAGCATTATTTGTTCACGCTAACGTACAGGCAGTGAACTAGTTTTGTTGTTAGTTATGTATATTACACTAATGTAGTGTTATATATGCTCGGTCTATTCGAACATATATAACCACCACTTTTTTAAAACTTTACATGAAGAACGTAAACACATTTTCCACAGTATAACAGGCATCAGTTGTCCAAAATTGACTTTTCTCTTTCTCATGAGGCACTGTACACTTTAATGGTGTCCAGTACTGTTATGCCCAATGTTATAACTGGCTTTGAGCCCAGTATTTCTAATGTTACTGGCAAGTCTGCATATACAGACGATTAGTGTACCATAGTACCATCTTAAAAGCACCTACTCACTTATTTATAACCACGTAATTGCACATGGAAAACTATTTTCAGATGTCGTTCCTGCCAGACAGGAATGTTCAGGGTACAACAACTAACACTATCCAGCTGCATTATGGGAAATGTAGGAATCTTTGGTTTTTGAGCTTTACCAATACTAGGAAATGAAAGTCAGGAGATCAACAAATGTAACCACTAGTTTTTAAATCTGTTTCTCACAAGTTCCCCAGCTGTGTGGAAGTACAATCCAGTGATCAGTAACATGATAATCGCCAGCAATTATTGCCTTGTAACTTTGCACAGGTGGACGGTTTACTCACACCTTCTTTTGCAGCTACCTTGACATACGACACACTTCGTTTTGGAGAGTTTGAAGATTTTCCTGAGACCTCAGATCCTGTGTGGATCTTAGGGAAAGCGTATAATGCACTCACAGGTAGGATAGTGTATGTGAGACAGAGAAATGAGTACTTCAGTTACAAAGAATCATATTAGCAAGTAAACACTTCACTGTTTGCATGTATTGTAATATTTCTGCTCTTCATGTAGAGAAGGATGAGATTTTGTCAGACGTCACTTCACGACTGTGGTTCACATACAGAAAAAACTTCCCACCGATTGGTAGGTGAAGACAACAAATGCACGTTAGTTGAGCTCCTCAGCCAACTTTAGTGAGTTTTGACATTTGTTTTACAGGTGGGACAGGACCAACATCCGATACAGGATGGGGATGTATGTTACGATGTGGCCAGATGATCCTAGGCGAGGCCTTGATATGTAGACATTTAGGGCGGGGTAAGATAATTTTAAAAATCAAAACCTAAGATATGAATATGTCTGTTTTGCAGACAGATATAGACAAAACCAGATGTCATCACTGTGTGGCACTACCAGTTCTTCTACCATGAGCTGATTTTAAATGGGCTTAATAACAGTCTTTGTGTTGTCAGACTGGAGATGGGCCAGAGGCCAGAAACAAAGAGAAGAGTATGTCAGTATTCTCAATGCCTTCATTGACAAGAAAGACAGCTACTATTCCATCCATCAAATTGGTAAGGAGTGACTGCCAAACCCTTTCTATTATATCAAGGACTCACTTAGGCAATTCTGAAACGACTTGCATAATTTTTTTTTTTTTAACTAAATGCTGCAGCCCAAATGGGAGTTGGCGAGGGAAAGCCTATAGGCCAGTGGTATGGACCAAACACAGTTGCTCAGGTTCTAAAGTAAGTACCATAAAGAAGCTGCAAGTTCCATTTCTTTCCAGAATGTTTGCCACAAGTCTTCAAAGTACTTCTTTTGGTCTAGTCCAAATCCTAAAGATGGTCAATTTACAGTGATATAAAACCGATAAATGCACAGTATCCTTACATTTGGAAAGCTGGAAACTGTTAATGATTTATCCAGTTTAGATTAAGGTAACCTTGTAAACAAACACTTGCATATACATCCTTGTGCTAGAGCATGATACAAACAAAAGGAAGACCCACTCATAAAAATGTTGCTTTATGACACAAACTACAATCAAAAACTCTACATGGTGTCTTTTTAATCAATTGTCAAAATTGTTGCCAAGTACAGATTTTTTGTGAACCAGCTGTCCAATCCCTGCAGCACTGCTTCATATCATTTCTGTTTGATTTTATTTTAAAATTTCATTTTCACACAAATATTGCAGCTGCTGTCATAACTAGGAAATGCAGCCTTGTTTTCACAAAAGGTTATCAGGGGCAGAACAGAATGACACTGCTGTATAAACAAGGATCTGCTGAGTCAAAGCTTTGGACAGAAGTGTCTGCCAAATGAACAAGTGTCTAAAATGCTTCTTCTTTAGTCAGTAGGAGCCATTCAGGTGTCTTTTTTTCCACTCTGACCATGTATTGACTTCCCAGAATCTTTTCCAAGAATTAATCCAAAGATGACAGTTTGTTTTCTGCGCTCTTGTTTTCAGGAAGCTGGCAGTGTTTGATACGTGGAGCAGATTAGTTGTACACGTGGCGATGGACAACACTGTGGTCATTGAGGAGATCAGTGAGTGCAGCTGCATTGCAACTTTGTGTTGGGTGTTAGTTTTCCTCTTACCATTCAATCGCATAAAAAGTTTGAATGTCACTCCGGTACTTGTACACCAGGTTAAACTATGGATTTTGCAGAGATGGAAAACTTCTTTAAGCAGTAAGACTCCATCAGATGAATTACTGTCTGTTGGTTCAGTATTTAACTTGTAAGCACATCTGTCTCAGTCCTTTCTGTCTCGAGTGTCTGCTGCATGACCTAATGTTATTCTGGTGCAGTAGTTTTTCTTAACATAGATGATAAACTGATCAAATGAACCTAAGAAATTGTTTTCTTGTTTTGCAGCACAGACAAAAGTAGTGTTTGTATTTTGTTTTTTTTCTTCGCACTGCAGAGCGTCTCTGCATGCCCTGGTTGGATTTTGCAGGGGAATCCGGGGGAGTGGGGGAGCTCAATGGCTGCCTGGAAGGAGCATGTGCCCTGGCTGAGGAGGAGATGGCTCTGTGGAAACCTCTGGTACTGCTCATTCCCCTAAGGCTGGGCCTGAGTGATATAAATGAGGCCTACATTGAAACCCTCAAGGTGAGAGGCTTCAGCATGTATATTCATATTCTATACATATATCAGAACAAAAATTCTAGTGTAATCTGTGTATAGTCCAGCACAGTTGAATTCAAAAACAACATTACTGCATTACCACCTAACAATAACTTGCCTGGGACAAAAAGTCTGTTCAAACTCAAGTTCTTTGGCAACCATACGCAATAGGGCTGGGCGATATGGCAAAACATTCTATGACAATAATTTTGTCAGTCAATGTCAATAATTATCAGAGATTTTTATTGTCAATTCACTATATGTGCAGGACATACAGAAAAATCTAAATACTGTTTCTCTCTCACCTAATATTGAATGCCCATACCATTTAAGAAACTAAAATGGAATAAAAGTAGAATAAACACAGAATAAACAGAATATGAAACTGAATTCAAGTAATGAGGATAAACTAGATGGTACAACCCAATAGGCTATGATGAAACTCAAAGCCATGTGCAAACAGTGACAGTAGTGCAAATAATAACAAGAAGAGGTCAGCATCACCAGGGGCGTTGGTGATGGGATTCATAATAGCTTATGAAATGTACATGGACAGCAGTGCAAATGACCAACAGCAGCAGATATGATGGTAAAACAAACAGTCAGCAGCAGATTTACATGTAATATGACAGAAAGGGGGGATGTATTGAGTTTGTACAAATAGCAGGGGTAGTCTTTTTATGCTCTGTGGTGGGTTATGGTCCAGGGGCAGAGGGGGGAGGTAATGGACTGCGTTCAGCATCCTCATAGCCTGGTGGATGAAGCTTATTATCAGGATATAATTCAAGTTATTTCTTATTTGTGTTCACAACTTGTTCTCACTAACCTGAGCAGCCAAACAGGTTTTACAGCAGGTTAGATTAAATTAAACATGGACTAATAATCTGTGGGTTGGCGTTAATGTTAGGTATGTGTGGTTTGTAGTTAACAGGGTAAAACAACTGGTGCTCTTACAATGAGCCACATTCAGCTACAGCTGGTCCTCGATAAACCCTTGTCTCTTTTCACAGCAATGCTTCATGCTGCCTCAATCCCTGGGTGTTATCGGTGGAAAACCCAACAGTGCCCATTATTTCATCGGTTATGTTGGTATGTCTAGTCTCTGCACACTGCAAGCAAATTCATGGCTTACCATGTTAATTTAACTTTGTCCAGTCTGTTTCTGAACATGCCACCCCCCCATCCCCCACCCCCAGGAGAAGAGCTCATCTATTTAGACCCACACACCACACAGCCTGCAGTGGAGCCGTATGAAGATGGCCAGGTCCTGGATGAGACGTACCATTGTCAGCATCCACCCTGTCGCATGCATATCTGTGAACTGGACCCGTCCATTGCAGTGGTAGGAATAGTTTATAGCACAGAGGTTTGGATCTGTTGTTAAACATGAATATGATTAGGCTGAAAACGTTTCACTGTTTCACAGTCACAGGTGTAGTGCTGCTGGAATGCACCAGAAAGACACCGCCACTTTTTTTCTCAGAGGAAAAAGAATAGGCCTATTTGCATAATCAGGTTGAAATTCATAACGCTGCATTACTGTGTGCTTGAAGAGCCAATCATCAGTAAAGTGTATGTCCTGCAAAATGGAATTAAGTTATGATAAGGTGCGGTGATTGATTCAAACAATGTGCGCTCTGATGCAGAATTGGCACCCATGACTGTGTTTTGTCCAATCACATAACATGGATGGGTCACAGCTACACAGTTTAGTATTGAATACAGATCCTGTTTGCAAAAGACAAGTGACAGAATGAAACTCAGATCATCCAGACTGACAAACTAGAGCGTGATGTGGAGGAGGGGCCATGAAGACAAGCATCAGATGCAACGATCAGCGGCAGAAACAGACATCACATTTAACTTGCACGATGCTGGGATTAAAACAGACTGTGAGAGATCAGCTGTAGGTCTGTATGACACAAGCAGGGCACAGGATGGCCAGTCCTGAGCCCCGACACGGCACATGTGTTCAGTGTCGTTGGTTGACATGTAAACCAACATGAAGCAGGAGATCAGTAATCAATATGTTTTGGAGTTGGTTTAACACTGGAGTGGAGAGCATCTATTTTCTTTTAAATTTAGGAGGCATCTGATGACTGGTCATGACAAAACTGGAGAGGGGGCTCAGTTTCACATAGTTGGGGTTGAAAATGTCCCTTAGCCAGTCCCCCCCCCCCCCCGGG